GAGTGAGGCTCTTAACCTGTAATTATTATGACAGTATTCTGCATCCAGCCCTGCAGGGAGGTGCTCCAACTTACAGGGAAAATTTGGGTTTTGCGGCACTTCAGAAAAAAAGAAAACTGATCCATTCTGACTAGTGTGGTGCTGAGGTGTCACCCGTCACACGGCTGTACTAAGGTTCTCATCCCAGAGGTGGTTTGTCATGTGGTGAGTGTGACAACATGCTCTAATTCATGCGTGCTCCTCACCCCCACCCTACACTGTATGTGATTGTAGGCATGTTCCATGTCTACTATAATCACATTTCTGAGTATAGATTTTAAGGTCTTATAATTAAGCAATAACATCATAGATGACAGTTTGAGAGGAGCTGCTATCTGTCTACAGGGTCATGGCGGTGGGGGGGAATGCCAGTCTGTTAGAGGGAACAACTCACACACATACACAATCATACGGACCTTTCAGAGAAGCCAGTTGCATGGATTTGGACTGCAGAAGAAAACCCAAGCGAGACAGGGAGAACATGCAACTCCAGATGCAGGGTGGAGTTGAGAACAGACATAGAGTGGGACTCATTTCCAGGCCGAGAGTTTTATGCTGAAACTGGAGGAACTTTGATGAATGATGCAATAATTCAAGTATTAAATAAATGAAAAAAAATAGCAGTCTGACTTTTTCCATCACCTCCCGGTCTCCTTCCAGCATCCATCGTTTGAGAAACTTCCCGTGAACAGCAATAGCAAGCGATTCGTTATAACACGCATTGCGCTCACGCGATCACGCTGACGGGCGTACCGCATATTTGCACATCTCACTATGCAGAGCACTCGTGCTCGGTTGTGTGTGTATGTGTGTGTGCCAGTGAGTTACCTCGCTAGCTAACATTCTGAAGCATTGTTGTAGAATATTAAAGATGTAAAATTATTTTGTTTCCGACCAGCTCAATTTTATTTGCCGCTGCGGGCCCGGGTGAGAGGCAACAGAGTGTGAGCCAATGAGCCACCATGCCACCCTTGAAGCTATTGGGACAGCACAGGGGGGGCGGGTGCTCCTGGGCCCCCCCAAAAGGAACTCAGGCCCACTCAAGTCTAAATCAAAATACAGCAAATAATAAGTTGACATAAATGCAAGATAAGAGAAAAAAGAAACATCAACATTCACAAAAAGCAAGAGAATAAAAATATGTCTTTAATCTAGACTTAAATGGGTCAGTTGAAGGAGACTCCTTAATAATTTGCGGTCAGTAGTTCCACAGTCGAGGTGCAGCAGCTGCTGTGTGTGCAGGGTGAGATAGATTTTTCTTTCTCTTCATTCATTTGGTCTTAGTAATGCTACAGGTCATTAAAAAAGTGATTTAGAAATATGCAGGTGAGTCTGTAGTGTGATTTTGTCACCAAGTGAATTGTTACGGGACTGCCCCTCCTGATCGGCTCACTGCCGGCCCACACACAGTATGATTTAAGGCTCCACTATTGCCTTGACCATGTCCCAGTGACTGTAAATCCTCTACATAAACTTTTAACTGTAAAATCCTGCTGATCGGACAGGTGCACACAGCGAGAGAAGAGCAGGTGAAAAGATCTGTGTCTTCTCCACAGGGTAAAGAAATCCCCTCTCGCATGTACAAAGCATAGAAAGGTCTTTATTAGGCTGAAATGGCCCAAAAGGGACTAGATACAGATCAACACAGCAGAAGCTCTGCAGTAGATCAGGTCTTTGGACATTTAATTTAACATGTTTCTGTGTGATTCATTCCATTCGAGAGGTACTGAATTGCACCTGTTTTATTGCATTTTGCATGGCACGAGAGGATGCGTCTGGGCTGAGCGTGAGTCAAACGAGAATGGATTGAAAGCTAACAATGAAAAACTCAAACTGAAGGAATCGGTTGCCTTTCATACTGAGCCGCAACGTGAACGTAAGCCTGTTATTAATGTCGATGCCTAACTGTGGCCACAGTCCAGAAAGTACGTAGCCACACTTACTCCTGTCCAGGTCAAATATTTTTCAGCTCAATTTCATAATAACGGCAGAGCTGACAGAGATAAGCAGTGCAGATTGCATAATGATGCTGATCAAGTTAATAGGGGCAGACCTGAGGGGCCCCTTGCGAGGGTGACCCTCGGGTGAGTGTGAGGCCCGGGCACAAACCCGGGGCTGTTCAGCCCCTCTGTCAGCCCTTCCTCTGACCTCAGCGCAAAAGCCCTGGGCCCTGATTCCCACAAAGTTCCGCCAAAAATCCAGCGACTCCAGCTCGGGTTTGTTTTCTCAGGTGACGGCACCAGGTCGCGCAGAATGCCGCCCAGTTGCTTTTAATTAGGCTTCTGGAATCGACCAAAGGATCAGCGTCAGGCCACTACTGGCTGCTTTACACAGCAGATAAAGTTTGAAAAAAGGAGGCCCTTTTGGGTGGAACCGGTTCTTCCCCACTAACAATTTTTGGTTCTAGGAACCAACATTATGAACGAACATTATGATTAAGGTATGGACACATTCGATGTGTCCAGTTTTCCTAACGTTCCCAGAACGTTATTCCACTGCTACAACTACTCTTTACAACTAAGAGTAATATAAAAGCAAACAAAGTGTGTGGTATGACATTGAGTAACCTGTTGCTTTGCTCCTCAAAGCTCATGGATTTAAGGTTAGATTGTGTGTTTGTACTAAGTTTTATAAAATAATATTTTATTATAAAACAACATTTTTCCATGTTGTGTTAAAAGGATATTTAGGTAATAATATTAAATGCTGACGTCGACAGAACCTTTTTTAAAATGGTGAATGTGGAAATTAAGCTCCAGTAACGTTGTTAGCCAACTGTTGATAAGTCCTTCACATAACATTGGCTGAAGTTCTGGGAACGTTCTCTGTCAGCATGCAATCACAGATTGTAATGGCAGAAAGCACTGGAGGCAACAGTGTGACTCAATTTCATGTTCATGTCTGTCCTTCTGAAATATACCTCACGGCTGCGGCTGTTTCAGAATCCCGAGGCTGCGATGTTCAGACTTTCCTCTTTTGACTTTCTGATTGTTGCGAGAACCTGGGGGTGACAGAAGGCCGAGATAAAAATATAAAGTAGCTCAGTCAAGAGTTAACAAATGAACGAAATATCGATGGTCTGCGAAAGGAAAAACCCAACGGAAATATAGTGAGCGCAAGCATCCCCAGACTGACAGACAGCTGGGCCTGAACTGGAACTAGGCAACCAGCTGCCTTTCTCTAAATAACAGTGATTCAAATAGCAGGGCAGTGCTGAGAGATTCCTTCGGGTTCACATAAAGCTTCCAGTGAGCTTTCAGGTTTAGTACCACATGCTGGTCTTGATGTGACACTGTAGATGGTATCGCGTAATCCTTGTGGTGCCATTGTGCATTCCCACACGCTAAATGGGCTCTTTGTGCAACAGCTGTTTTTAATGTGCTGTTTTACTCGTACGGACGCCCGTCAGAGGTACGATCCGCTGTGTAGTTTAACACCGACCATCTATGGGGGATAAAAAGCTAGCTAAATGTGCACTTTATGAAGCATTTGTGCGCTGTAAACCTCTGCGAATGTTTAACGAAAATTGAGCATACATTGGCTGGGAAGGCAGTGCCTGCTAAGGTACAGTTATAATATATACACAAATTTCAGGTTGTGAAACCCTTTTTTTATATGCAATATGTTTAGTAATTCATATTTTATTTAAATATTTACATGTATGAGTGATTTATGTATATCTTACTGTGAAACAAGTAATGACGGATTATTACTAAAACATAATGAAAGACATAAATGCACAAAAAATGAGCCAAATGGCTCATTTTTTCCCCCAATGTATATGAAAACTTACATTGTGATAGAGGGATGGCGGAATCAGCATCTCACATTGATACTCTCTAGTATCATCCTATAGATCATTTTAGCAGCATGCTACATAGCGAGTGCAGATGTATGGATGTTTGGTTCCATGTTAAGAGCATTGCTTCAGTGAATTAATTTAGTAAAACAGCGTGGTATCTAAACCCGAACTGAACCATGAGGGATGGAACTTACTGTACTGTTGAAAAGATGAAATGTTGACTTCCACCAGCTGAGTTTAATGGTGGCTCTTGGCTAATATTAAAGATGCCCAGATCCAAAACTCTCATTATGAAAAAGCTAGAATTAGGACACTGAATTCCAGATTCCTCTAGGCCAGTAGTTATAATCCTTACACTTTCTTTGTAAACAAACCCAATGCCAGGTGTCTCGTGGTCAGTCTTAAATTTTTTCTTTATAGGAATTTTTATTGGGAAAAAATGTCACTGGAGAACCACACAAATCAAGCTCCAGCCCTCTGGACATTTGTCTGCGGGGAGCATTAACCAGAATCATTAGCAGAGATCTGGGCTGGGCACAGATCGGCACGAGGCACACGACTGTTTAAAACAAACAAGCCATTGAAATAAATCTCCCCAAGGAGCATTTCTGAGAGCTTTGAACAAAAAAGCTTGGAAAGGACCTTCACACACGTGGGTCTCAGCCCCCGGGCATCGTCTGGGAACGGGGGCTAAGTTGGTCCACATTGCCAATTCCATCCCACTCATGGGGTTGTGACCTCTGGCTAACGCATCCCTGCTATGGCCTGAAGCTCAGCGAGAGAGACGAGTGTGTTTCCAATCAGGACCTCATATGTCCGGATTAATGCAGAAAATATTTAATGCTTAAGTGGCTATGACTAATAATGTACGCTTGGAACCGCACAGATTGGTGGTGTTTTGTTAGTCATGCACGCCAGATTTCGCTGAATCAGTCATCTCCATGGTGGCCTTAATCATGTTAAGAGAACAGAGACACTTGACGAGGTTCTTTGTAATCTTTAAAAACCCCCACCGCCTTGATAACTGCTTATGTTTACTTGCATCTTCTCCTAACGCATTTCCTGCTACGTTGCAGAATTCATCTGCTTCGACAACGAATGGATTCCCTCATAGAAAATGCAGGAAAATGAAACAATAACATAACATAAATTAAGGGAATATATTAAAATTTGAATACATTTTGTAGACTTTATTTTAAGTTTGTTTGATCTTTCATACAATCGTTTACTATGCATTCTGCCTTCTTTCACTGTTGCCCTCTTGTGGACAACAAAAGAATCTCCTGCTGTAAAAGCTTCTCCGTGCTTTTAATCGCAGAATGACTGACTGTTTTCATTCATTACTTTCCTATCCCATTCTTTAATATGACATTATTATATGCTGTTACATGCAACACAAACATATAAACCGTAAATTATAAAGATATAAATGTCTAAGAGCTAACATTTCAAAAACACACGTGAATTTCATAGTTTCAGAAAAATGGGACACTCTTTTAAAAAGCATAAAATTCAGATATCAGTTAATTCCAAAGATTGCACTTATTTATGTCTAATGTAGATAGGATACAATTCAATCACAAATATTTTTACCTCTGATAAATGATAGACAATTCAGGTAGGTAGTGCAGTTACCTTCACAGAAGGTGAAATAAGATCATGTTCTATGCAGGTACATGTGTCACAGGCTGAATATAATGGACTAAAACATCAAGACTGTAACCAATTGGATTAAACTGGCAATTATAAATACCATCCCAATAAAGAAAGACGGAACCTTATAAAAATGTCATATGTATGAAAGCTGTTAAATATGTGATGAATTTGGAATTCAATTATAATATTTATACCAACCATTTTAATCGGTCAAGGTCTGGGTACAGTTCACAAGAAAATTTCGTATTGTCATATCAATATACAAAAGGAGTCCATTTGACTGTCCCAATGACTTGTGTGTTTCATGGGTTTAAATCCGCAAAAAATAAATGTTTTTCAAAAATCTAATCCACTTATTTAATATCTAAATAATAATCTAACAATTATTCAGATGTGAATGCAGTTACCATTTTCCACATGGCATTGCATTAAATCTTCGACAAAAAAATGAAATGTTCTTGGTTAATCTTGTCTATTTAGTTTCAGATCAACATAAAATATATAAAAGGATTAAATTTAGTGTTTGATTACCAGTCTGTCCTTTAGATAAATGTGAAAGGAAAAAGGACACCACCTGTGCACATAACCATGGTCGACAGAGGAAAACTAACTGCAAAATTCAATAACTGTTCTGTGAATGTGGCCCAACTCGCAGTTCAGAGTAATGTTACAGTATTAGATCTGACAGTACTCGATACAGTACTAGGGAAGTTGATGAATCTGTAGAGTATTATCTACCCAACTGAAAAAAAAAACAAAATATTGATGTAGACAGACTGAGAGACAAGAGAAACAAAGAATTATTCATGAAAATGCTTATCTTATTACAGCGTTCAAATACTACTTTAAAATTATATATATCACATTTTCGATATGAATCAATACATAAAGTGCACAACAACTGTAAAGACACATTAAACAAAATACTATTTTGTTTTTTAAAAAAAACATCCTCTTACTCTAAATACACTGTGCATATAACATTTAAACAGTCCACACATAACATTGTCATTTAATCTAAATGTTCATAATTTTAGTGAACACATTTGCATCTTGATGGTGCACATAGCTAGCAAATCGTATTTAACGCCAACATGGCTAATGGTCAAAATGCTATTTTATGGGAATACATCTTAAGGTCATAGAACACATTGGTATGTATGAATGTGACCTCATTGGTACTGTGTGTGCGCAGCGTAGCAGCAGGTTACAGAGATGGGCCAGTGATCTGGGTCTATGGTGCTGGCTCAAGTGACAGTGCTGAAGTACACAGAGGAAAGAGGGATGGAGACAGAGCAGCATTGGTCCGGGGGGGGTTCACACTTTCACAGTGGTCCACTGTTGGACATCTGGTGACACACTGGAACTGGGGGAGAGGGTGCACGTGAAGGGCAGGAGAGTCCTTCATGCTGGCAGGTCTCAGTGCGGACTCTTCAAGCGCAAAGAGAACCAAAAGCAGTCAATGAGGAAAAGATGACAATAATACGTAAGGTTGCAGAAAGGAGAGATTATTTCTTTTCTTCTCCAGCACGTCTTTATAGTTTATACTCATAAATATTTATCGGCACTTCTACTCAGATTCTTCAACTGAAGCTGAATCATGCAGCTCGTTACAGAAGCATCCCTCTAGAAGACTAGACAGATACTCTCCTCCAAGCTGAGACAGACTGGCTGACCGGTTACTGCGGACCTTCTACATTTAGGCATCTGGAGATAAACCCCTCTTACCGTCTAAGCGCTGCAGAGGGAGACACAGGATGACCGGCGAGAGCGGCACATGTTCTTCTGCAAAGAAAAGCAAAACTTAGCAGAGCAGAGGAGACACAATCACTGTGTTACTAAGCAACACACTTCATTGACACACTGCATTGACACACTGCATTAACTATAAAAATCATTAGCAAAGGCTACATGTGATATTGTAATCGGTTCTAAGACGATTTTAATAATATACAGAGTAATAGATCCATGCTTCCATTTTCCATTCCCTCTTGTGTAAGTAAATGCATACTGCAGGGTTTATTGCATATGCACTGCATTTCTCCAGTGCCTTTAACACCACCTGTATTCTGTATATTCCTGTATTTTCAGGATTTCTTATTTGTGTACTTTTTAAATCTCTTGGCACCGCCTTTACTTTGTCTGCACTATGTGTACTGTCCGTTTGGTACTATATGCATGACCGTCTGTGCACTTCTTGCTGCTGTATGCACCAGAATTTCCCCCTGAGATCAATAAAGTCCACCTTAATCTTAATTTGGTTCCCCCTTGTAAGGTTGTGATGTGCCACAGATTTTGAACGGGAAGCCTACCTTTTCATGGAGATGGTGGTGGAGAACTGGATTTGAGAGCCAGGCATGTCTCAGAGCTTCTGAAGCACTGATCCTCCAGCTATAGAAGACCGGTAGAAGATGGGCGTTACACAAAGCCAGACATGTTAAAGGTATCACTTGAGTTTTATAAATGTTTTTAAGCAATAACATACGAGAAGGAGTGCGATTGTTCTCCAATATATCACGGCTGTGATTCGGTCGTAGGCATGAGGCCGCGGGCCAAGTGCCAAAGGTAATCAGATAAACGTTCTTCACAAAGGCTATTGGGTTCGGCACATTTACTAACCGGATCTTTTAGATTTGAAAACCGGTTCGACTGATTCACTGAAATGAACCGATTCAGAAGAATGATTTGTTCATGAATCGGACGTCGATAAAACCGATACAGTTTCGTCTAATATTGCCGGTGTCAGTAGTGAAGCAACTAGGATCCTTAAAAGGACAGCGGGAAAACAGTGAGTGAGAATAAGTTCACAAACACAAATTTTTACGGACACAAAAGTGGATACAGGCAATAGAGACAGAGCGCAACGAGTCATACGTTGAAAATATTTCTTCTGGTTTGGCAACTTATAAAAACTTAAAATCCGAAACAGATTAAAATCAATCCAACAAAATGGAATACATATGAACCTTTGCTTTAATCTTATTTCTGCCTACGTTCATTTTTGAAACAAGTGGAAACGCGGGCAGGTTCTCAAAAGGCACCAAGTGAGAACCAGCCCAGCACCGGCTCCGTGTGGGTGGAAATGAGGCATATGAAACAGTTTTTAGATACACCTGTAATGCAGAGTGATACAGCTGATGTGAAATGTCCGAGTTTGGTCATACTCAGATAAACGCACTCAAAGAATGCCTTTTGTCCAATCAGATTTCTTGGTCGGCACTGTTGTATAATAGATGACAGTTTGATAGGAACTTTCAAGCAGCTATCTGTCTATTCTTACTTTTTATAAAGGTACTTGTAATTCAAGCTGAATATTTTTGGATCAACCCAACCACTAACTTAAAATTCTATCCCATGTTGTTCAACATATTGTCTGTAAAATACCTTTTATTGACAACAAGGAGCTTGGAGATGAAATCCTTCGCTTCCTCAGAAATGTCAGTAAACTCCACTTCCTGAAAGCTCCACTGGCAGGCCAGGATGTTGTTCAGAGTCTCATTGTTGTCATCCCCGAGGAAAGGTGACAGGCTGCTGAGCCTGTGGAGGAACCACAGCGTTGACCAGGAGGGAGTGACAGCGTTGACAGCTTAGCGGACTCAGGCTACACCACACATAAGCCTAATGACTAGAGGCACCGAAAACACATAGTTAGCTGAGCTCATGATAACAGAATAGAAGAAACACGTTATCCAGCCCGATGGAAAAATCTCACCCATCTTACTCTTCATGAGACACACAGACACTAATACAGGTGATAGCAAGCTTGGGGGACTCAGTACAGGGTTAGCCAGCATTCAGCACCCCCTGGAGCAGTAGGGGGTTAAGGATTTTGCTCAGGGGCCTAAAGCTGGGATTCAACCTCACGAACATGATCACGTACCAACCTGCTAAGCCACACATCATCTGCCAGCTACATATGACGGGTGGCTTGCCGTGATCGTATAGTGGTTAGTACTTTGCGTTGTGGCCGCAACAACCCCGGTTCGAATCCGGGTCACGGCAGATGGTATCCCGTAAACCATTATTTTGTGGGCAGTGGTGGCTTAATGGTTAGGGAACCACACTCGTAATTGAAAGATTGCAGGTTCGAATCCCCGACCAGCAAGGCACCACTGAGGTACCCTGAGCAAGGTGCCGCCCCCAAGCACTGCTCCCCGGGCGCTGAATTAGCTGCCCCCTGCTATGTCACATATGGGTTAAATGCAGAGGACACATTTCATTGTGCACTGTGTGCTGTGGTGTGTCAACAATGACAATTCGTCACTAAATTCTAATTCTAAATATTGCTCATATTGAAAGTGGTTATTCACTCATATATGAGCACATGCATATCAGCCTAAATGTTACGTTAAGAGACGGACAGGACTTACAGCATGTAGGTTATGACTCCCAAGCTCCACATGTCCGTGGAAAAAGAGACGTAATCATAATTAACCACCTCTGGTGCAAGGAACTCCGGTGTCCCAAAGCTCACCTTCAGCTTCTCCTGGGGATTAAACCTGTCATGGAGAGGCAGAGGAGAACCTGCTGCTTTATTTTATGCGATTCAGCATCATTCTATAACTATAATTAATTAAAAACACAATGCATTATAATAGTCAGCATAAGCCATTATAATGCATTATGAAGGTATTTATAGTGCATTATAGATGAGGTCTTCAAAGAGCATTCATAATGCATAAGAAACATGGCTATAATGTGTTATACCTTTTTATAAATAGTTATAGCCATGTTTATAATACTTTAAGAATGCACTATAATGCATTATGAAGGTATCTATGATGCACTATACATGGGTGCTTTAAGTAAAGTGTAAAGTAACTGTGCTTCTGAATGGTGCTAAATGACACCTATAGAGAAAGTAAAACTAGAATGTACCGGATAGTTCCATAGGTCCGCCATTTTGTTTCCAAAGTCACTGAGAGGAAGATAGTTCAGATCCAGAAAGCAAAAATCCAGACCAAGATTTTTGTCAGCCAACTAGGCGAGTATAAAGAGTCACAGTATTAGAATACTCAGCTGGCTGGTTGAAACATAATCTTGGTCTGGATATTTTTTTCCCGAACCTGAACTCTCCACCTCTGAAGGCATTGGAATGGAATGGAAAAAGATTGAATCCAAAACCACAAGACACGCAATGGCTGGGTCGTGATTTGAAACGTACTTTCTGGCTAACCCGAAGTCAATGATCTTGATCTTGTTTGTGATTCTGCTCACACACATTATGTTCTCTGGCTGACAAACAAAAGTGCAGTCAATTAACAGCTAGAATTGAAGACACACAAAAGAGACAATGAAGATCAACAAAGTAGCAGCCAAAATAGAATACAATGAGGCTTGCATGATTAATGGTTACATAAAATTCAAAGATATTGAATAATACAATTGAGTACAGTACAGAAAATCATTAATTCAAAACTTTTGAGTTCCAATCATCCGTCTAATAAAAGCTGATGGGTGTCAAGAACGCCAATTACCTTAAGGTCCAGATGGAGGATGTACATTTTGTGCATGTGCTGGATCCCATCACAAATTTGGCGGATGAACATGATAGAGTCCAACTCAGTCAGCTTGTAGTTCTCGTCGATGATCCTGTCAAACAGCTCACCTCCATCCACGCTGACAGACACATACATGCATGTTCTCAGAGACACAAAGGCAGCTAGACTTTCTTTGTTGGTTAAAGATCTATCCAAGAATGCTGATATCACATTAACTCTGCTGCAAAGTTGCAAATATTTTGACTCAGCCTAAAGAAATTTCATTCTAGCAATGATTGTTGTGGTTCAACATTGTGCACAACATTAAAACTGTAAAGCATGTCAAACAATTACAATATGAATAGTTTAATATCATGAAAAGTGTAACTCACTCAACTTAAAGGATATCAGGCATTTCTGTTTTATAAGAAGGCTGAGTTCAGACTTAAGTTGGCAATTGTAATTTATCCCAGGAAATACAGGACACTAGGCAAGGGAAGAGCCTGGTGGTACGTTGCCCAAAAGCATAACTGCTAACAATGTATAGCACTTGAATAGTTCCCAATATGCTAGTTGCTAATGGGAGATTTTGGGAAATGTAGCCCTGAATGGAAAATCAGTCAATCATTGGGCGCACATTCACATAATCACACAATGGGCAATTTAGAGATAGCAATTCTTCTAAACAAATGGCTTTGGACTGTTGGAGGAAACTAAAGTACTGAGTGTAAATTTGCTCAAAACAGAGAAAATCCTGTGGAGGGAAATCCCTGGCTGGGAGTGTCACTGTCAGGACATGGGACTATTTTTTACTTAAACAGCTAGATGCATTCTGAAGTTCAATAGGCAGCTGCTCCACGTGTTGATCTCTCCAGATCTAATTACAAATCAAGTGAGCGAATGAGGTATTCAGGGATGCCAACTCTGGTCAGATGGCTGGAATGAGATTTTTCTTACACGCATGTAACAGATTTATTACCTTGTAAACAGTCTGTATGGTTTGCAAACGATCCCAATGCTTCTGATGTAGCTAATTTTAGGTTTATAATAGAATAATACAGATTTGTCTTAGTATTTCTTGCGTGAGCATGAGAGTCTGAAAGCACGAGTTTCACGCCAGACAGCAGAGTTGGTCATTCTCAAAAGAAGGTGAAAGATGTCACTAAATACAGGAGAAGTGCACTCATACTGTATTTGAAGAACATCAGACTTACTACTCCAAGACAAGAATGACGTCAGTCCTGGATTCATAGGCAGCATACAGCTGGATCAGGTTAGCATGGTCCAGCTGGTTCATCACCAGAACCTCATTCTTCACAAAGTCCTAGAGAGCAAACATGGTCAGGTTGCCTCTCTCACAAGCATATCATCCTCTGGCTATACATAGGCTGAAATTGTGAGAGAATTGTGAGATTTCCCCACATTCACCCTGTAGCTGTAGTACTAGTGATTTATCATAACTGAAGCTCTCAATCTTGCTTATATAAGAAAGGTCTCACCTTCTCTTTCAGGGATTTTGCTTTGATGATCTTTGCAGCAAAGGTAAGACCTGATGAATTCTCTATGCACTTGTGCACTTGGCCAAAACGACCCCTGTCGAAAAACATAAAGACAACCTTATAGTAAGTTAACTTGAGAATCTATGCCATTTAAAACTTTGTTTCCAACATCTAAATATAAAACTGACCCTAGGGTAACAACTGATGAGAATGTGGATTCACACAATTCAAGTCAGACAGCATAAATAACTGATCCCAGAGATACGAGTCTAGTGAGGTGAAGTTTTAAGTAACTCGACTCTGTAGGTCACACCCACCCTCCGAGGATTTCCTGTTTGTTGATCGAATAGAAGTTGGAGATTTGGTTGGGTTTGGCTGACACAATGCGATGCTTGAAGGGGGCAGAGGGGGGGGGACTGCAGTCTGCAGAAACAGATAAATTAGGGAGTGAAGGAAGAGAGGAGGAGATAAGAAAAGTGGAAAGAAATGAAAATGAAAGGAAAAGAAGACAGGAGAGAGGGGTGTAAAATGAAGATAAGAGTTGATGCTTGTTCATCAATTACAGTGCAGAGTGTAGAAAATATTGAAATTATTTCATATGAATCACCAGTCCACACACTCAAAAGTGCTGGAGTACATAACCAATTCCCACCCACAGACAGAGTGAATTTACTGTACATGTTGCACAAAGTAGGGGTGGGTGACTATGTTCCGATTAATGATCCATAGGCTATGAACGAACATTATCAGTCATTATCAGGCCCTCCCCTCACCTATGAAGTACTCTTCTTCAGTCTCTTCCACATCATCTTCCACATCTGACTCTTCCATCTCTACCTCTGTCCTGTCCTTCCCCTCTTTTTCCTCTTCCTCCATCTGTGCTGTCATGGCAGAATCATTGTCTTTCATAGGTTCCTGCTTTTCTTCCTCTTCCTTCATATAACTTGTCCCATGTTTATCCTTCTCAAAGTCTCCTTTTGTCGCGTCCGATTTCCTATAGGAAATGACCTCACTGGTCTGATTAAGCTCCACCATCGACTCATGAAACACTTGTATGTTTTTTTCATGGCTGAAAGACAAATTACAACAAATCAGATTCAACTTACCTCTATATAAGTGATTAGTACATGAAGAGTAAAAAGTTGACGAGCAGGTATCGATTAACCAGTGGCATCTGTAGCTTTTTTTTGTATTTTGGCAAATAAAATATGGAAAACGATGCTACAGAGGTTTTTCCCACATGAGAAGTGAATTTTGTTTTAATATATATATATGGTTATGAATGAGACCCGCTTCTTAAGCCAGTCTCTAAGTCAAAATAAAATAATGCAATATAATAACTATTATTATTATTATCATTATTATTATTATACAATAAGAAAAATGACTAAAAATGGTACTGTATTGAACCTTGAGATGACAAACGACTGAAACTATGAATGTTTTCGCAGGCATTATAAGCCACTTTTAATGGATTTCCGTAGCTTGTGCCTGCGAGCTCTCAGTGGCGAGTTTGTTTGTTGACGTAGAGTCAATAAATGGTAACCAGCTAGCTGGTTAGCAGAACATGCTGCGACTGCATCTTCTAGATGCGGAACATACTTATTTAATATTTAGGGTAGTGACTGTTTGTGGCCAGACGAGTGGTTTGAGCCGTGGTGAACACTGTGGTCTATCCTTCATGTTAAGTACCTGTTCATGTATTCAAAAGCTTCTATGGTAGGACCATTTTCTGTAAGAACATTTTTAGGTTCAGTTCCATCATTATCTGAGGGCTGTTCACCGTCACAAATAGTCATGTCTCCTTGTTGCTCATGTTCTTCTTCTTCCTTGGCCTCCACCTGCACATCATGAACTTGAACACGTCCTGGTTCTTCTTCCCATTTGTCACCCTTGTCTTTATGCTTGGTAAGAATCAATGGCTTGTCCCTCTCCAGCTTGTTCAACTCCGTTATCTTCTTTCCTTTCTGTTCTGAAACCCCAACCTCTTCTGCCACAGGGATGCGGGGAGCATCCGGGATAATATTTATCATGGTGGGATCTATGTCTTCCAAGGTATTGTCCACCCTACCTCCAACCTCAAGAGCTTTGTCTTGGTGCAGTCTCTCATCATTCAGCCTGTTGAATCTCTGAACTTCTTCAAGAAGCTGGACCTGTTTCCTTAAGGCGGCTATTTCTGAGAAGAGAGACCGAGACAGTTCTGTTAATAGCCTCTAAGAATATTGAGATAGATAGACAGAAAGCTACTAGAGCATATGACTGGGGTAATCCATGTCAGGGAGCTACTTCAGGTTTTACAAACTACCTTCAATTTGAAAGGCTCCTGTGTTTGGCTAAATACTTCAATTCTTCTTGTGCGTTTACTGGTTTGTTTCCTTGATTGAAAGACTCATCCAGCTGTTTCACTTTAACATTAGTGACACATGCTTGATTATAGGAGACTGACCAATCAGCAAACAGCAAGAACTCAATGCATAAGTGAAATCCAGGTCTTTTTAATTGAAATGGTAGTTTAGCAAATGAAGCATGAAGCAAAGTTTGATGTTCCGCATTCAGACACAGTAATGGCACATTTCACCTGGTGTGTCTGGAGGCTTCTTCTTCCCCTGGGATTTCGAGGCCTTTAGATTTGCACGTCCTCTGTGTTCTCTCAGCTGGGGAACAGACAGGGGGCAGGAGAAAGACAATAACAAACTGGTTTTAAATGCCTGCTACACCAGTGAGGAACTCACACTAATGCAGCTGCATCTCCAGGGGATTTAATAAAAAGCCGGGTGCATCCATCCATCTTCGTAACTACTTGTCCAATTAAGGGTCCCAGAGACCATGGGCACAAGGCAGGGAACAACCCAGGATGGGGCGTCAACCCATCGCAGGGCATAAGGCAGGAAACAACCCAGGATGGGGCGCCAACCCATCACAGGGCACAAGGCAGGCAACAACCCAGGATGGGGCACCAACCCATCACAGGGCACAAAGCAGGGAACAACCCAGGATGGGGCGCCAACCCATCACAGGGCACAAAGCAGGGAACAACCCAGGATGGGGCACCAACCCATCACAGGGCACAAAGCAGGGAACAGCCCAGGATGGGGCACCAACCCATCACAGGGCACAAGGCAGGGAACAACCCAGGATGGGGCGCCAACCCATCGCAGGGCACACTCACACACCGTTTATCGTCACATGCACACCAATGGGCAGTTTGAAAATTGAGAACATCAATTAGCCTGAGCACGTTTTTGGACTGGGGGGCAGAACATAAGACCATGAATATGCCCATACTTAGAGTTCTCCCCGTACATGGAATCATGACGGAGAATCGAACCTTAGTCCCAGAGGTGTGAGGCAACAGTGCTAACCACTGCACCACTGTGCAGATGAAAACATCAATTGAAATATTTGTAATCTAATGACCATGAAAAGCCGGAACTTGTCACTGTACACTGTACCACTGCGGCCCCTCCCCCAAAATACCTGAAGTACTATTACAGTCCCCTTGCAGTATGAAGACTCTTACTTGCAGACCTGACCATATGAGCCTGAAGCTATGATTCAAAGTTCAATGGTGACATTTCAACCTTATTGCATTTCTGTGAATAATTTATATAAAATTTTATCATTTTAGAAATTATAACATGTTACTATTGCAGGAGATGACCACAAAAATTCACACATAAGTTTCTTAAATAGTAGTCTAAACAAAAGCAGTACATTTTCTGTCACCTGTGAATGAGTATTAGTCACTAAAAATCCTGATAACACATAGCATCACAAAGCTATGATAGCTAAAAAAAAATGAACAAAGACAACAATAATAATCCTCTCATTAATTAAAATAAAATGAAAAAATAGTTTTTTGTTCTGATATATTCACAGACCTGTAATAAGCGCATAGTTATTGGAGCCCATTCAAGATGTATGGAACCACAAGGCTATTAATGCATGACTCAGTAGCTCAGCAATGGACTCAAGATGTCAATGCTTATCACTTTACTTATGGCTCACACTATAAACGCTCCCTTTAAATATCCAACGGCGCCTGGTGAGCTTTGACCTCTGAGGGTCTCCTCAGAGTCCTCGTGAGTGCAGGGACACAGAGATAGCTGTTCCTGAAGGACAAACAGAAAGGGCCTAACAGCTCATGATGATGGGATCTCACACCTAACCATGGCCCAGCTCCTCACTATGACAACAGTACTATCTGCCAAGCAATTCATTTCACCATGGCTGAAACTGAAGCTGAGACCTCACTATCACCTGCAGTAAATCCCTTAGTATGTTTTCATACACTGCCAGTCCACGTTTTTGCTCCGTCCGAGTTCCCTGCCAGATAGTCCAAATTTTTGCTGTCTACCGGGAGCTGGGAGGGAGCAAAAACATGGACTGTCTTTGGGTCCCCCCGGACCGGATTGAGGAACACTGCACTACAGCAATAAGGCAAACTGATTACTCAGCACGTCTAGGCTCTTCCTATTTCCTTGTTACCATTTTCCTACAAAATTTGTATAGTGTCTTGTTCTGTATACTCTGCTTGTGACCCAGGAATCAGCACTCTTTAAAACTTTGTGTTTACACCAGCATAAAAACACCCCATAGACTGAAAGATATCTCTGATACCTGGGGATTTATGCCGTGCACTGAAACATTACACGTGCGCCCTACACAAGCTTGCACACACTTTACTAGCTCGGATAGACGTTATTTATAACACAGTCACGGCTATGGTGCTAATTCAGGTTGTGAACAGAATTTATAGTCGGTGTCAATCCAGATTCACGAGCGGCAGTAGCGATCTGAAGTGATAAATCTTCACGATATTTATTATGTATGTTCGTCATGGCAGTAGGCAGGTGTAAAGGGAAAGTAGAGGTGCTGACTCAGAAAGAAGCATAGATACTAGATACCTCCCCAGGGGCCCATGAGAAGAGACTGGCATGGCAGATGCTCCACTCTCCCTTGGGCCCTTGTGCAGCTGTATTCAGTGGCTCTCTATCATCCCTTCTATGAATTTCTATACTTTAATATAGACTACCAGTCAAAGCTTTTTGCACACGCTGAGATTTTCTACATTTGCGCGTTACTCAATTAACATTTACTAAAAATACCCTGAATATTCTTTGATAACAAATAGATTTACAATATGTTCACCGTTTGAGTACCTTTATTACCAATAAAATGTCATATCTTGGATTCATCAAAGTAACCTGCTCTAGCAGTTATAACGGCAGACAAAATTTGAGGCATTCTTTCTACAAGGGACATTAAATACTGCTCTGTTTCATAGGATGAATTAAAAGTGCATTAAAAGTTAAAGGACAGCCTAGAATTTGACTATGTCATCACCACACAAACAGTTAATAGGATGTCAGACATGCACTGTTACATACTCTTTTCATGTTATAAAGGACATTTGTTTTATTTCACTTATATTTCCATTTATAGTCAACTTTCCAATGCATAACAAGAATAAAAAATGTGCAGTTTATGAAATAAATGGAAAAGTGGTAGAAATCAGTGGTGGGCAAAAACTTTTGACTGGTGTATCTTATATAATGACAGTCCTACTTCTAAAGCTACATGTATACTGAACCCTTAAAAACCAAACATCATAATGGGAAATATCAGTAGGTATTATTGTAGCCAAACTGAGTTCATAGACGAGTTCCTTATTCATACAGCCACCTGAGAATAACAACGGCATCTACATTCACTTTGGAAAGGGTGCCGGCAGAATCTCAAAATTCAGGTGAGCATTTTCAGTCAGCTGTCTGGTTTTGATTACCATGTGACCAATCTGTGTGGTCAGCAAAAATGGCACCACGTGCTACTGACATGCATTAAAAAAAAGGACACCGCATACGCATCATTAATAATGCACGAAAATTCTAAGCAAGTAGAATAAATTTTGTAGATAAATTCTCCAAATATATCCACCTTCTACAAATGACCAAGGGGAATCTGCAGGTGGGAGATGAACTGCATCTCATGAGATGAAAAAATATTAACTAGAATAACAATAGTAATTGACTCAGTTGGCTCATGTAGTTCAAATGCATGATTTAATTCCAGATTTTAAAGATTGATTTTCTGCACCCCTGCACTTACTTGATCACGCTTCTGCTGAAACACCCCTGACTTATCTGTGGTCTCTGCCAAAGGGGGCCTCCTATACACTTATTCCTTTGAATTCTCACCTTGTTCGACGTTGCCCTGGCCTTGCGAGCCGGAGGCTCTTTGAAAAGCAGCTCCATGAGGCAGGAGCTCTTCACATTTTCTCCGATTAAGCTGACGACCTGTTGGATGCCCATCATCAACCTCTCCATCCCGTCCAGCTTTCTGGAGTGCTGCTCAGACCTCTGGCTGACGGCTGATATGACGCTGTTCATCTCCTGGCACATCGCTTTCATCTCGTTGGTGACTTTCATGTCCTGCTGCTTGGGAGGCAGCACATGGATCTCCTCCTTGTCCACCTTCAGTGTCTCTACGTCCTTTTCAATGCCGTCGATGTCCTGAGACAAGCCATCCAGCCGGTGGAGAACCTTCTCCTGGATGTGGATGAGCTTGTCTATCTTGTCACTCAAAGAATCGATCTTAGTCTGGATGTGGGAGAAGGTTACAGGGTGCCCGTCAACTTCCGTGGGTAGCTTTCCTGGTTTTCCCATGACAGCGACAGATTTGGGGTCAAAAACCTTTGCCAGTGAATTAACTACTTTTGAACTCATCTTATCTGTATGACAAATTGCAAAGACACAAATATTGCGTTTCGTCTAACCGTGACCAATTAAAACCTGGAGAGAGGAAGACATTTAATCCTTAAATAGTAAAAATGTCAAACGGCTTAAAATCATTTGAAAAGTCATTAAAAAAAATGGCAAAAACTTAGATCCTTGATCTATCTCAATATTTAGCTTGTTTCCATTTGAGCTTATTTCTTCATTCAAAGCAGCTTCTCCTTTTCCAGATGAGGGAGAGCGTGACCCCCCTCCCTAAATGCGGATGGAGAGTGTACGTCAGCAAGGGGAGGGCTGGGATATCTGAGCCCAGGGGAATTTGGTTGTGGGCATGCCTGGTGACATCGGAGAACCTTCAAGAGTTAAGCCACCATGTCCACAGCACTGCCAGGGTACACTACTGGACATTCAGTTTCATGTCAGCTGGTTTTTTTTTCTCAATATGATAAAAACATTAGAGGCAAGAAGAAAAAAACTTGATAAATAAAACGTGAGAGCAAAATGTCATGCCAGTTTGTGTACGAATGCAAGAAGCCACTACGTGTTCTAATAATAAACCATTGGGATGTATTTATGTGGCAACTCAAAATGCCCATCAAACATGTCCCAGTCTTGCTTTGACACTGAAGCGGCATTTTGGAGCTTAACAGCAGGGCATGAAGCTCGTCTCCAATAATGATTTTCAGCGGCGATTCGGAGTACTGTCACCTATCATTGCCTTAGGCCACCCAAGTGACATCACACTTCTGTGGCTAAAAATATACAATGTATGAGGGATAGTCAATATCTAAGGTGCCCCACAATGCACTTACTTCCTCTGTGGCTTCTTGCCTGGCAAAGTGTCTGGACCGGCATATAGTAGCGTAGCTCTGTCCTACTCGACTGATGAGCCATAAACCCTTGGGTGAAACAGGAGATGGTGACGGGTATGATTTATACCAAAACGCTCTTTCCAACTCCTGCCCTCTGTCCCCCTCCCACAGCCCCAGGGCTAAATGATGCACAGTTAAGAACAGCCCAGATCAATTTTAACTTATGAACAGTAATTCGAACTGTTATCCTCTACATTACAAACTATAAGCAAATGTCCTCTGCTTCATTTAGCAGTATTTAGAGCATGTAAGGTTTGTGTTGACATGAAGGGGGAAAGCTGACAGACATTAAACACCCCGAAGTGTTTCTTTCATGTTTCGGGCGGTTAAGGAATAGAAATTTCTGGAAGGAGATATATCATTGAAGAACATTTAAAATAAAGCGACACCAAGAGAAGAAACATGTCACATTTATCTTTTGATTTTCACCCTAATGCAATAGTTTGGCTGATTGCAAATGTTGTGGAAACGATTCCTAAGGGACTAAATCAAATTTCAGAGCTTTTTAGCTCATTGATTTAGCTAAATTATTACTGTGCCATATTCGCCAGCTGTTCACACTGCTTATCCACTACTGAGTTACAGTGAGTCTGGAGCACATCCATGGAAGCACAGTGCATGTCACTGCAGTACAGTGCATGTCACTGCAGGATCTGAGTCAACCGTGGAAGTTAGTGGTGCATGTGCAAGCATTGAACACCAAATACAAAAGCGACTGAAAACTAACTAAAATTAATTAAAAACTAGCTAAAACGAAAGCCCAACTAAAACCGAAATAAAAAAAACAAACAAAAAAACTGTAGGGTCCAGTTCCTTTGAGGCTTTGCCAGTGTCAGTATAAACAATTGAAGGTAATCTGCTATTTTATTTTACGCGAGATGGGCCTTTATTTACTATAATTCCTAAGGCTGCAGGTTTTCTAGATGGCCTAAAGTCCTTTATTTACTTGAATAGTTTATCATGGTTGACTCAGGTCATGCAGCATATGCACAGCTTACATCCCCGGTTGACTCACATGCCAGTCCATCTCAGGACGCACATACACATACACTACAGGACAATATAAAGATGCCAGTTTGCTTGACCACATGTTTTTGAAGAGGAGGAGGAAATCAATGTATCTGGAGGGAACGTGTGCAAAAATTGGGGGAAAACATGCCACATACACAGAGCTGAAGGAGGAATTTTAACCCTCAGTTTTCTAAATGTCTCACCTGTACTGTGAAATGTATGTAATGCGATTTTGCTCATCTGCACCACATATATGGAGCCTGTTTGTAGGGTGGTGGTGAATCAGAGGTGCAAAGAGACAAAGATCTGAGAAGACGAAGTGCGCCACTGACAGGGAACGACCCCCCATGAAAGATGACACTTTGGGACAAAAGCTAAAAATAGCCTGCCCTACAGGAAGGTGACCACTACTTCACCTCGCCATTGTCCCATGTCCCCCTGGTGGACGGTGAAGGGACAGACTGATGAAACAGAGGCCAGAAAGGGGCAGGGCCAGGCATGACCTGACAGGAACCTGAAGGCGATCGTAAGAGTGACACAGGCAGCAGCTAAACAGAAGCAGCCATTTTCACGGTGACCCTGCTTCACGGGACCATGAGGCCTTCATTTTACACAAACACGCGCATGTGAAGTCAGACATACTGAAACTACTGAGGAACTCAGTCTAAAAATACTGTGAAAATTGCAAAGATGCAAACTCCATATCCCTGAATCACTGAAACTGTGACATCTGATACTGTCGATCCAAAATGGATGCCAGGCACATATGGTCCTAGAGAAACAGGACTTTCTCGTCTTGATAGCCGCAATATGTACACCTTTTCACACCTAAAGGCAAATTGCATTTATTTCTTAGAAGATTCTTTGATTCAAAGTGATGTACAGTTGAGAAAGTAGCCACACAGTCCTTGGAAAAAACCGGGGGTCTTGTCAAATGCTCAATGGTGACATTTATATATCATTGTATTTATTTAGCAGATGTTTCTTTGCAAAGCCATGCACATTTATGCAAAAGACAGTCAGACAGTCCCTGGATCAACTGGAAGTTAAGGCTTTGAACCAGTGACCTTCCGATCACAGATAAAGGGTCTTAAACTGCAGAGCCAAACACCGCCACAATACCAGTTTGCGTGACTTATTCTTTTTACATATTCTTCTCAATATTCCAAAAAATGTGAGTTTTCATCACACTACGTCAAATGAAAACATCCATCCCTCCATTTTCTGTAACTGCTTGTCCTGGTCGGGGTGGGGGGGGGGGGTGCGGAGCCTATGGGCACAAGGCAGGGAACAACCCAGGATGTTTTTGGATTGTGGGAGTAAAGCGGGGTATCCAGGTGAAACCCCACAACGACACGGGGAGAGACTCCGTGTGCTAACCATGGCGCCACCGTGCAAATGAAAGCATCAGCAGTTGAAATATTTGTAATCTAATGACCATAAAAACCCTGTACTTGTGAGTGCACACAGAAGTCTCTATCAACATGTGCTAAGCTTAACGCCAATCAATTCACACAGAGTAAGCTGAGCCGGCGTCGAGGCCGCGGAGTGGAAGAGGGTGACCTGACTGGCATGAAGTATGCTGGCAGTGAGAAGGTCGGTAATGCGAGCCTTTGCGGGAACACTCTGTCCCAGCATGCAGTGAGGTTACGTCTCCTGCTCTGACTCTGTTCATAGACCCACCTGGCACCCTAAAACATGACACTTTTCCCACAGTGCCTACAACAGGGCACGGGGGGGGACAAGGACATGCGTCGATAGAAAGAATCCAGGGCTAATCAAGGTCTCCAGGTTATAAATTATCGCAAATGATCAGGGGCTATAGGTGCTTTTTACTGCAGGGTGACTGCTAAATGTCTTCCTGTAACGAGCACCAGGGCCAGGCCAGCCTATAGGCGACATAGGCGACATGACGCATGGGGGCGCCAGTATCACTAGGGGGCGCCAAAGAGCATGTGAAAGAAATCAGAAGAAATACTACTGGTTGCATTCTGGGACATTAGTTATTTACACAGATTTTAATATTTAATATTTCGTTTCTTTTGTGACAGATACCAGCTAGCTAGGTAGCAGCCAGATATCCTGTGTTACTGAAATGTTTTTAATATCAATGAAATGACAAAATTTGTTTTCCGCTGCTCTTGGGAGGGGGCGGGGGACGAGGCCGGATCTCACCTAGGGTGCCAGAACACCCCAGGCCGCTCCTGATCAGCACCCTCCTGTGTACAACAACAAGAAATTTATTTTTGTATAACGCATTATCACAACATTACATCGTCTCAAAGCGCTTTACAGCATCCCCTCCCAAAGCCCCCAGTGAGTAAGCCATAGGCGACAGTGGCAAGGAAAAACCCCCAAGAAGGAAGAAACCTTGGGAGGGACCAGACTCAGAGGGGGAGCCCATCCTCCAGGGGGCAGCAGAGGGAACCCTAACCCTAACCAGACCCAAAGGGGGAGCCCATCCTCCAGGGGGCAGCAGAGGGAGCCCTAACCCTAACCAGACCCAAAGGGGGAGCCCATCCTCCAGGGGGCAGCAGAGGAAGCCCTAACCCTAACCAGACCCAAAGGGGGAGCCCACCCTCCAGGGGGCAGCAGGGAGAGTCAAATCGGAGAGATGGCTAAGTGCCGAGTCATACTGTCCAAATCATAAAATTTGAGACACAACCGGGGATTGGGGGGAGATGACAAGCCGGTGCCAACACTCCCTCCAATCGCCAGGCAATCAGAAGGCAGGCAGCGGGTCAAACATGGAAGATGACACAAGCACAGATGAACCATAAGCACGTACAAAAAAACACTGTTACAGTAGACTAGCACATGCATGAACGATAATTGAAGACATGCGGCCTTTAAGAGAAGAGCTAAAAAAAGAATGAGATGTATCTTTTTGATTTTATTGTGGACGTTCATTCGCAGTATCTGAAGGAGCCCACACAGGTCACTGCATTCAAGAACCACTTCCTTTATTCTTAGTTTGGAGCTGTCCTGATCTTTAGGCTATTGCTTAGCCATTAGATAGAAGCCTTTATATCTTATCACATGATGTGATACGGTGCACGTTACTGTATTCCCTCTGCAAGAAGGAGAAGTTCATCTGGAATATTGGCAGACATTTCCATGCCTTTTCTGGATTTTTGAGAAGCACCGCGCTCCTCCCATGTCTCATTCGCTGCATCGCAGTCTAGGCGTTTGTCGCCGCAGCAGTGATGCCAGGTGATGCCATGGTTTCCCATTTTGGTTTTCAGGCCGAGATGAGGCACAAAACGGTCCGTCTCCATGACGTACATGCACACATGCTTCCTTGAGCTCCGTTGCGCAAGACGACCCCAAGATGCCAAGTTACAAGGCGAGTGGATGACAT